CCTCTTTCTTTTCTCCAGTTCCTTCCCCCTTCCTTCGTCCTCTCCAACTGTGCCTTCTTTATTCTCTCTCTACCAATTTAGTTCTACTCTTCCCTTTCCCTTTCCCCTTCGTTTCTAAAAGTGTGATAGACCCACTGTACTCTGCCCCGTGCAGGCCCAATCTGGAATATTGTGTTCAGGTCTGGGCACCACATTATATGAAGAACATTGATAATCTGGAAATTGGACAAAGGACAACTAGGATGGTGAAGGGCCTTGAGATTATACTACATGAAGATCATTTGAAGGAACTAGGCATATTTAGCCTGGAGAAGAGAAATTATCATTAGGAAATAGCTTGGGATAGTAGATAGGGCATTGGACTTGGAGTCAAGTAGACCTCAATTTAAATCTAGCCTTGGATACTTACTAAGTTAGAGAGAAATCACTTTCATCTAGCGAAAAGTGGGTAGGTAAAATTAGAAAATTTTTCATTCTAGGGAAGGTTTCAAGGAAGGGAGAGACTTTAACAAATATTGATGGTAGTGGGAGGGCAGTCCATTCTAGGGATGGGAAACAATATGAAGAAGAGCATGGAGACAAGAGTGGACAGTACAAGAAGAAAGAGCAAAAGTAGTCTAGTGACTACTACCATGTTCCTGCAAACGTAAACTATGTGAAAAGGAATAGTATGAAATAAGGCTGGAAAGGTAGGCTGGTGCCAGACTGTGACAACCCTCAAGTGCCAGGATAAGAAATTTATACTTGATTTAATAGTTATTGGGGAAGTATTGGAGGATTTTGAGTAAAGAAGTAACAAGATCTGCTACTTTCTACCTGTATGAACTTGGATAAATCACTTCAATTGCCTGATTCCCAACTCCCTCCCTGCAAATGCTAGTGCTCTCCTTCCAAATTCTACCTTGTATTTATTTTTGTATTTATCGTCTGCCTCCATTTCCTCAATAATATCACCTTCCTCCCAGGGTTGTTGTAAGGATCAAATGATATATTTGTAAAGTACTTAGTACAGTGCCTAGCACATTGTAGGTGTTATATAAATGTTACCTATTATCATTATCTTCATCATCATCATGATCATTATTACTACTATTACTACCACTATTATCATTATCATTAGCTATACTTTTTTATGTATATGTTATCTACCCTTATACAATGTAAGCTCTTGAGAATAGAGACTGTTCAATTTTTGCCTTTGTAGGTGCTTAATAAATAATTGTTGATTAATTGATTGAAGATAAGGACTCTGAATTAGGATGATTATTCAGATAGCAATGTGAAAGGTAGATTGGAGAGGGAAGAGATTGCTAGTGGGAAGACTAGTTATGATGCTATTACAATAGTGTAGGCAAGAAGAAATGAAGACCTGAACAAGGAATATTGCAGTGAAAGTCAATAGGCAAAGATGACAGGTTTTAAGCTTAAATGACTGGCAGGGTGGTACTACCATCCACAGAAAGGGCAGGAATTTTGTTGAGTTTGAGATACCAATAGAATTTCCAGATGGTGCTATCTAGCAGGTGGTTAGATATACAAGATTAGATCTCTGAGGAAATTTTTTGTCCATTCGTTTCAGTCATATCCAACTCTTCATGACCCCATTTGGGGTTTTCTTGGCAAAGATACCAGAGTGGTTTGTCATATCCTTATCCAGCTCATTTTACAGATGAGGAAACTGAAGCAAACAGCATTAAGTGACTTGTCCAGGGTCACACAGCTAGTACGTATCTGGGGACACATTTGAACTCAGGGCCTGGCACCCTATCCACTGTGCCACCTAGCTGCTGTATGAGGGGAAGCTAGGAAAGATAAAGACTAATGTGTCATCTATGAGTAAGTGATCATTGAAGCCATGGAAGTGGGTGAAAGTGGCAAAATACATAATATAGAAAGTAAAAAGAAGCAGGTAAGGACAGAATCTATAGATATACATTCAAGAATTAGATGCCATCACATGAGAAAGAGTAGTATCAGTCAGAGTGTTAAGAGAAGAATCATGAGAGTGTAACATCATGAGAGCCAAAAAGGACCAAAAAAGAGTCAGACTTGGTGATAAAGGAAGTCATTAATGGCCTTGGAGAAAGCAGCTTCAGTGAAATGGGGGGGGGGGAAGACATGATAAGAGGTTAAAGAGTAGGTTGCTGTTAAGGAAATAGAATCTAATTGCTTGTGAGAGTAGTAAGATCAAGGAAAGAGTGTTTTGGTTTTGGTTTTAATTTGTATTTTAGGTTAGAGAAGTCCTGAGCATACTTGTAGCATATAGACTGGAACCAGTAAAATGGGAGATATTGAAGGTACATGGGAGAGAAGAAGAATGATTAATGGTTCTGGGTAATCATTTTGGAGGGTTTGGAAGAAAGGAGTTGAGGAAATTCGAATCAGATGACTTTAATATCGTCATTAAAATAGGAATTAAGATCATCTGCTGAAATTGAAAAAGGAGTGGGTGAATCAAGTTGAAGTCATGAGGAAAGAGGAGAAGGTTTGGAACACCTGTTATGGGGAATGTATAATAGGGAATGAATACAAAGATTGCTATGTTGGCCATGAAGGCCTACTTAACGTTAGGTAGAATAGCTTTGTGATAGACATGGTCTTGTGATTTTTTTTTCCCCAGCAGCGTTTTTGCTACTTGGGATTAGAAGCAAATTGAAATTCAACAAACTTTTTTTAAGCACCAACCAGATGCCAGGCACTGAGGATACAAAGGCAAAAACAAATAGTCCTGGCCCCAAGGAGTTTACATTCTAACAGGAATGCAACATGTGTACATACAAGTAAATATTCCATAATTTGAAAAAGGAAAGAACACTAACATTTATCATGGAAGGTTTCCAGTAGTAGGTACACGTGGCCTGGACCTTGAAGGAAACTAATGGTTCTAAAAAATGGAGGTGAGGAGGAAGTATATTCTAGGCATGAGGGAGGGAAAGATAATTTCTGGAGGCAGAGGATACAATACCTAAACTGGAAAACATCAAATTGGCCAGTTTGGCTGGAATATAGTCTATAAAGGGGAGCAAAGTGAAATCAGGCTGGAAGGGTTTAAACACTAAATTAAGAATTTTCGTACTTTACCTCGGAGGTGATAAGGAGCCACTAAAAATTCTTGAGTGATATGGTCAGACCCATGCTTTAGGATGATTATTTTTAGCAACTGTGTGGAAGGTGGATTGGAGAAGGGAGAATTTGGAATTAGGGAGACCAATGAAGAGGCTATTGCAATAATTCAAATGAGAAAGTTAATGAAGTAGGGTGGTGTCCATGTTGGCAGAGGGAAGTAGAGCTAGAATTGGCAAGACCCTATATATATGTTATATAACCTATATCAAATTGCTTGCCTTATTAATGAGAGGGGTGAGGAGGGAGGGAGAGAATTTAGAACTTAAAATTTTACACATGAATGTTAAAAAATGGTTTTTACATGTAATTGGTGGAAAATAAAATACTAAATAAATAATTTTTTTTAAAAAAAGACTATAAGGGGCAACCAGATGGCGCAGTGGATAGATCTCCAGCCTTGGAGTCAGGAGGACATAAGTTCAAATCCGGCTTCAGACACTTGACACTTACTAGCTGTGTGACCCTGGTCAAGTCACTGAACTCTGATTGCCTCACCAAAAAGCAAAATAAATTAAAAAAAGACTATATATGTGTGATGAAGGATAATAAAGAATTAAGGATGACTCCAAAGTTATAGAGCTGGGGGTTAGCAAGATAGGGGAAGATGGGGAAAAAGGAAGTCAAGAGTTTTAAGTGTGTAGGAAAGAACAGTATTAAAATAGCTAAGCACTGAGTTAAGACTGGATAGGGAAGTAAGAACAGAAAAAAGATTTGTGGTAATTCATTATTAGATGCTTAATTCTTCCAGCTTCAAGAATGACTGATTTCATTACTCTGATTTCATCAATGCAAATCACAAGGCCTTCACACCCTAGTAGACAGTCTTCATAAGTTCTGGCCAAAAATAAAGTTCATCACCTGGTAGCCAACTTTCTAGTAATGAAGAACATTTTAAGAACTTAGCTATGCTGTTCTTCAGGTAATGTATATATAGGCCATTATCAGGCTTATACTTGAATCCTTTCCAACTTTTTGTAAGACCTCTTGGAACTTACACTCCAGTGGCCTAGACATCAAAAACCCACAGTCACCTCTGCACTTTAATAAATTTAAAAGCTATGAGCAGCTTTCTGCTGAGCTCTGACAGAGTTTGGCGTCCTGGAGCTGCATTTCTTTCCACCCCACTGAAGTCATGCTCTGAAGCTGCCTTTCCTCAGTTTGTCTATTTTGTCCTCTCTCAGCACCCAGCCAGATGCATTGGTTGTTACTGGTCCAGTTTCTTAGATGGCATGGATAATTGGAACGACAGGAAGGAGGAGAAAAGGGAATGTGGCTTTCCCTCTGGACTCTCTCCTCACCTCTTTTTACTGACTTCTAGTTATAGATACAAGAATCTGGCTACTCAAAGCACTCCCAAAGCTTAGCTCCTGAAGCAATTGCTGGGATCATATCCTCTGATATTCATAGATCCAGAGATGTTTCTAATTCTTTCAACCAATCCCAATACAGCTTTTTAAAATCTGATTTCACCCAATGGTTAAGTTGGTTTTTTTTTTACCCCTTCCCACCTTAAATACATTTTTTTCTACACCTAGTTTACGCTTTTGATTTTGTTGCTCAATCAAGGAGGAAATTTCACCTGATGAATATATCAGGGCATAGCGTATCTCATGAATTGTATTAATTGGGATATATAGTTAATAGGAGATACTTCCCTTGCAAAAGATTACAAAGTATTTAAGGAGTACTTTGCTTAAAAGAGCTAATAACAGAAAGCTATTTGGTAGAGATACTCAATAACTAATAAAGATCAATGGAGTCTGATCTATTCCATGAAAAATTATGATTTTATTAATTAGATGTTCATAAGCAAAATTAAAACTCAGATTTGTTTGTATACTCATTCTTCATTATTCATCTCATTTAAAATGCAGATAAATGAAGCTGCTAAAAGAGGAATGAAATTTGTTGGATTTGTAACACAACATAGTACTCAGTCCAAAGTTGCAATGGCACCAACCCTGACGGAGATGTAGAATCAGAGTCAACTCTATACAGAATTCAAGGACACCAGAGACACAATTCAGATGAAAACTGTAAAACATGGAATGAAGGAACTTTGAGTGGGCAGTCATCTGAAAGTGGAATTGAAGAAGAAATTCATCATGAAAGTGGACCATGGCAAATGGGAAGAGAAGGAAGTTCTATTCCTTCTAAATCAAGAAAGGGAGAAGGTAAAAAAAAAATTAGAAAAAGAGAGCTAGGATACATTTGTACATTAAATTTAGAAAAATGTGACTTTTCGAAAGGGGGAGGAAGCAAATGGGTAAGAGGATTAATTTTGAAAGTTTTTTAAAAAGAATTGACATTTATGTAGTACTTCACATACATAATTTCATTTGCTCTTCACTCCACTCCTGAGAGAGAAGTACTACTAATATGATAATTCCCATTGTACAGCTGGAAAAAAAATGAGGCTGAGTGATTAAATGACTCATCTATGGTGGCCCAGCTAGTAAATGTAAGAGGTAAGACCCAACCCCAGTTATCTACTGACTCCAGCACTGCCCTTCCAAAAACACTAAGCAGTTTTGAAATACTCAGAACTGAAAGGAACCTTAAAAACCACATAGTCCAACCTCCTCATTTTACGAACAATATGAGAAAACTAAGGCTTTAGAAGTGTTTTGCCAGAGATTATAGGGAAAGGGACTTCCTGACTTCTACCAGGCTACAATATAAACTTCTGAGCTTTTTTTTTTTTAAGTCACTACAGTCAAAACTAAATCTCTTTATCATGCTATTTTCAAATTAGCACCATTTATAAATATGTGTAATGGGCAGCTGTGAACCATGTAAAATAACTGTTCTTCAAAATTTCACTAACTGAACTGTAACTTGTCTATCATCTACAAAAAAAAAAATTACACTGTTTTAAAGGAAATTTAGGTTTGTCAATAACGTCCAATCTTGTGAAGTCAATTTTTTAAAAAAGCCAGTGTGGCTTCACAAAGACTCTTTTAATACTAAAAGACCCAGAATTTAAGAATACCTCAAAGTATCAAGCTACATCAGTTGGGGCAGTGCATTTTTTTTAATCCATAAGGCAAAGGAAATAGAAATAATAGGATGAAAGTGGTTATTTTAAAAGCAAAATTATAATATCTGCTTGTAACTATTTGCATTCAAAGTACATTTGCACAAATAGTAGAATTTATAACAAAAATATAAAAATTATGAAATAATTATTTTAAAAATTCATGCATTAATTAACACAGTTGATGCACCTGGTCTTTTTAACAATTCCTGCAGCAAGAGGGAGAACTGCAAAGTAGGCAGGAATTCTGTCTTCCCTTTCCAGGAAAGATTTGCCTCCTATGTGCACTTGATTCGTGCATATGGGCCAAATGAAAATGATCAGAAAAATGCATTGGAGAAATAGGAAAAAGGAAGAAGGGAGTCAAAAATAGTAGAATCCGAAGAAGGAGCAAGTCAGGAAAATTACCAACCAGAGGACCAGTCATCTTGAGGCCATCTGGGGAAAGATTAGAATCATATCAAATTTACCAAATTTTTCCATGCTGAAACTAAGGCAATTTCAGCACTGCAGTGAAATTTTAGACTATTGACAACTGTATATTTCAGCCTTTGATTACTTAATAGTTCTTTGGTAATATGAAAGGAATCCATACATAGTGGAAAGATGGGGGGGGGAGTCAAGGATAACTAACATTTATTAAGCCCCTACTATATGTGCTAAATGTTTCACAAATAGAGAAGAATGGATGAAAGCCCATGAACCATTTTGCATGTGAACACGCTGTACCTTTCTACAAGTATAAAAGACTTTAATGAATCTCTGACCTCATCTCTGTGGGTGTTTCCTTTTAACAGTGTAGATCACAACAGATCCACACGTACATTCTCAATCCTGTGCAATTCTTGTCCAGGTAGTCTTGTAAATCCTCCACATGTTGAGATTCACCCAACATGCTGGGAGCCTTACCCTGGGTCTCTTGACATTGTTTGGATTTCCATGGAATAAATGGGCTCTCCTACTTGTCCTTCATAGTTGCTATGTGGTTAGCCTGCCTTCTTTTCTGCTTATTTATGTTTCTGATCACATCCATTAAGCCATTTCTCATATGCAGTTTTTCTTTTCTAATACATTACAGACTCATACCCAAGATGTGCATGTCCTTTTCCTTCAATGACCCTCAACTTTAAGTCTTTGGAGACTATGGTATTCTGTAATTCAGTGCCATACCAGAAGAATGCTCATGTTTAAAATATGGGAAAGAGAAGCTTAGGGTCATGAAAAACACTGCACAGTTTCCCATAACAATCCAGACCATTGTTGTCCTTTTCAGGTCTGGATGCAAATCATTGTCTGTCTGCAGCTTCTGTCCAAGATTTGGCTACTCATGGACCAGCTTTATCAGTTGTCTATCCAATTGCATGTTATAGTCATTCTTCATTCATCCATTTGATTTTTCCTGTGTGCATAGGCAGGCAGAACTTTTTTGAATGATCATGGATTTAATTTTGGAGATCCTGAGCTTGCTACAATCAGCACAATGCCATCTACAAAGAGAATTAAGATACCACTATCTGTAGAAATTTACTAGAGTTAAAAAATTGATAAAGAAAAGATAGATCCCAACTTAATATAGAACTCAAAGACTTCCTATTTGGTGAACACTTGATTTAGAAAATAACCCATGTGTATGCACTGTTGCTTCTACCACCCCTCCCTGCCACTAATGCCAATTTCTCCCTGCTCCATCATCTACTATTAGTGTTCCCTTTGCTTTGAAGTTCTTTTCCAACACTTCTGTGAAAGTCAGAAGAGCAGCTGCATAACCCCACTCCCCACCTCTGGAAATCTTTTCCCTCCACTTCATTAATGTTGTCCAGTTGCCAGGGTCTCCACTTCTTTAACACACTTCTACCCCTCCCAGGAGCACAGGGAGGCTAAGGACTTGGGAACTTAGGCTAGGGATCAAATCCTAACTTTGCTACTTATGATATATGGACCTGAGATAAATCTCTTTACCGCTCTGGGCCTCAATTTCTTCATCTGTAAAATGAGAGGTCAAGACTAGATGACTTGTAAGGTCCCTTCCCATTCTAAATTCATGTTTCTGTAATTCTGGAATTAAGCTCTTAGGACTACTTTTAATACTCTTTTGGTTGTATTATAAGCTTAGTACTATAGTCTTTTGCATTAGCATAAGAACCTAACTTTTATAGCATTGTTGCTATGGGCAAATATGCTCCAAATTCCAAACTGACTTTAAAATGTCTTTTGAACCTGTTCATAATTTGGAGGCTGTCTATAATTGTAATGGAGGGCAGGCATCTTATATACTTTTACATACAGACTCCAAGCCAACTCCTTTTGCAATGCAGCCTCCAAGAGCAGAATAAGTGGTTAAGGTAAAACTATTTTTCAGAGAATCCTTTGCAAAATGACTATTCTAACAAACTGTGTATGGCACTCAGTATAAGAGAATTTTTAGCATTTAGTCATTTCTTCATTGGCCACCATTCACCAATTCTAAGACATAGCATATAAATGTGTATCAAGTAAGTAAGTCAATGAAAAAACCATTTCTGTTTTCAGATTTTACTTACAAGCAGTAGTGAAAATTTTAGACAAAAACTCTCCTACTTGATAGATAATTTTCACCCTTCTGAGGTTTACTGGCATTCTGTGATCATTAACTAAAACATGAAAATAGCACTAAATACTACATGAAGAAATAGCTAGTGTGCAGTCATGGCTTCAGATCCATCTAAAAGGATTTAAATATGTAACATGTGCTCTGGAGCCCTCTTCTGAGCCAGGTTGCTACATCAGGGTTTAACTGTACCCTGAGGGGTTGAAGGGCAATCTCTCAATTGCTATTGACTCAACCCTCTGCCATCTGTGTTCTTCCCGTTTTAGGCCAATGAACAGTACCCCTAACCACTTAACCTCAACTGGCTTTTACAAAGAGAAATTCAAAGATATAGCAAGAACAAACATTTCCCTGAATTCCTCAGGGCAAAATCCCACCTCCCAACACACACACACACACACACACACACACACACACACACACACACACATACGCGCACACACACACACACACCCCATCTCAGTGGGTGGAAACAGGAGAGAATTAGGCTAAAAAATCTAATTCAGTTCTTTGATTCCACCAACTTTACACCAAAAGTCACATCAGTCCAGATAATTTCTTCCACTGGGCTAGGGTCCTTGTCACTCCCAAAGATCTCTCCTCGTTCCTCTGATCCTGGACTGGCTACAACACCTAGCCTGGATTATAACTCCCATATTCCTGTAATTCACTTTCCTGGCTCAGATCAGAGATTCTACTTCCTGCACCTATAAAGGAAAAGAAGCCCCATTTTATGGTCATAGGGAATGGAGAGGGAGAAAGCCCTGTAGTTCTTTGTCTTACAGCGTGGTCTCACCACTGGACTCTAAGAGTGAAGGACTTACCTTGCTCCCCCAGGTGCAAAGGCACCAACAGAGAGGCAAAGAAGAAGTTGTGAAAACTGCAAGGTTTTATTGAATTCCTCCAAAACCAATCAAAATACCTCCCCTTCACCATGTGGGTTAACCAGATTGAACCAGTTACTAAATATCTATGCATGTGTCTCCAAGGCACTTCTCTTACATGTCATCATGATTCTCCATAAAGCAGTATCCCTAGTATCCTCTATATGGAGAGATACCATCTGCTCCCTCCTGTCCTCCACATGGAGACACAATATGAACAAGTTGATGGGATCTAAACATGTGTCATATCTGCCTTACAAGTGATTTTGTGCTTTGCTTCCAGTGATCAAGAATGGCCAGTCTTCCCCAAAATGGATAATACTGAATATACACATATTTAGGGCACTGGTTCTTTTAGCATGAAAGAAAATACTCTAATAAGAAAACAAAGGCTATCATAAATTTATATTGTTTCCAGCTGATTTCATAAATCCTATTGTAATTCTAGTACTAGTAGTTGAAGGCAACACCTATATCATAAAACTTCTGAGTCACAGTGAGAAAAATATGCTATATGTCATTATTCATGAAGGAGGCATGATCTGACCTTCAGTATCCTTAAATTGACAATATAGCTTATCCTTCTACTGACTAAAAATCCATAGAGCTCTCTTAAAAATTTTGTTCTCCATCACCTGCAGATCACTGTCCACACCACTCTCCCCTCCCTGCTTACCTCACACTGCATCTCCCTCTCCCAACTTTCTTTTTCCACACACTGGTTCATGTAACTAAATAGAGTTACCCAGATTAAGAGTTAAAGAACATGTACGGAGAGAAAATGTCATCCCTCCTTCTCCTACCTCAATTAATCCTCTGTTGGTTCTCAGCCTCATCATCAATAGCCATTTGTGACTACTATAAAATCAATATTTTCTGTTTCTTTCAATTATGAGCCCAAGATGTTGCTGATTTAATTAAAAACTTTCAGAAGCTATTTATCAAAGTTGTTGTTCAGTCATGTCTACTCTTTGTGACCCTGAAGGCCAACTGTCCAAGGGCTTTTCTTGGCAAAGATACTGGAGTGGTTTGCCATCTCCTTCTCTAGTTTTATGCAGGCAGGGGCTAAGTGATTTACCCACAATCACACAGCTAGTAAATGTCTGAGGTCAAATTTGAACTCTGTTCTTTCTGACTCTAGGTCCAGAGCTCTATCCACTGTGCCATCTAGCTGCCATTCATCAAAGTAGTTTGCTTTGATTTAAATTCCTTTGGAAAGATTTCCCTAAAAGATGAAGTTGTTTATTTTTCTTTTTTTTTCTCTCCTGTATATTCATCCTCAGATAATAAATTGTATACAGTCTTCAATGTTTTTGATGATGAATCAACACGCTGGACCTATCAGGAAGGCATTCTATCAATGAAAGTCACAAGAAAAGGATCTGTAATTAGTACACTAGATGCTGACTGGCTAGAGCTGACTACATTTTATTATAAACAAGGATTGTCCTTAATTGATTCTTTTGTATCCTGGGAAACTTCTAAAGGTAAGTCTTATTTCAGAAAGGGATCTTATGATATAAAATTTTTCGCAACTGTGTCAAGAATTGTGTTTTGATTAGCCTTAAGTGTTGTAGGGTAGAAACTGTCTGATTTTTTTTGATCTTTGTTGTCCCATCACCTAACACAGAACCTGATACATAGCAAGTACTTAATAAATGCTAAACAAATGAAGTGCTATGACTAATATGAGGAGATGTGGTTTCTAAGATAATTACGTGGCCAATGGCATAGAACTTTCAATTGCCATGAGCCATGCAAAATGCACACCTACTATACAGGGGAGCATTTCTAATAAATATTTGCCATTTGATCATTCTTTTTTAAAATAAACAGACCTCTATGACCAACACAGGTAAAGTTTACAGTAGCCCTACTAAGGAGTCATCACAACAGTTCAGTTAAGAATTCGTAAAATATGATGGCTGATTACCTAGGAAAGTGAAAGCTATTGATCTAGAAGATAATTAGGCTAAATAAAACTGTCATTATCATGGTTTTAAGTGTTTTGAACGTTTTTAATTGAGAGGCTTAGTTTGCTCTGTCCTTTAAAAAGTTTTCCTTTCCTTTTTTTTAATTTTTAGGGGAGCTACATTTTTCTTTTGTTAAGATAATGGGTAATCGTCTTTAGAGTCTTTATGAGATAAAACTAATTTTTCCCTCTAGTTGTCTCTATTTATACTTCCAATCTAGGGAATTATTCTAGGCCAGATTGTTTTTATGAATGTATGTTATCATGAGTGTATCATCATATGTAATAGTTAATGTCCAAGTATATAATATTATCCAGAGTTTGGAGATGTTATAACATATTATAGTTGACGTTTGACCTCTTCTGTAAACTGGATTTTATAAGTGTTGGTGAAGAAAATATAGTTCAAGGTATGACCTTTTAAGCTGCTTTCCTTCCTTTTTCCTAATCTCTCATTATCCCAAAAAACCCTGAGTGACTTTTAGAGAAAATGTGAAAGAAGCAAAAGTTGGTCAGGTGGGTGAGAAGAGACTGAGGTAGTGGGGGAGGTTAGAAATGTGGATAGAGATGTATACTAGCAAATGCACTGGACTTAATGTTAGTGCATATGGTTTTGATCCCCACTCTGACATTTACTAGATGTGTGACCTTAGAAAAATTACTTATCCTCTCTGAGTCTCAATTTCTTCATCATAAATTGAGGATAATAATAGTTGCACTACATTTCACAGGAAATTGTTAGGAAGGCTTCCAATTATGAGTTATTACTACTCTAATTGGAGATAAAGAAAACCAGAATAAGAGCATTATCTCAGTGGTGATAAAGGGATGAATGAAAAAGTAAGTGAAATAAGAACTCAATTTGCATTGCAAAGTTAGAGTTGAAGATTTATTTAAATAGATATTTTTTACATTAGTACAACTTTTTGAAGAGTCAGTACTTAAAACTGACAAAAGTTCAGTAAGTCAAATTGCTCAGTAACTAAGAAGCATACATGATTTAGTAGGACTCTGAAATACATAAATAGCATATTCCAAACAAGAGATTACTGACTATTAAAGAATTTTTCTGTTAGGGCCTTTTAGGACATGTAGCTGCAATATTTCTATTCACAGATCATCTAGTTGGACAACTGTTTACCTTTCATAAAATTATACATACAACTCAAGAGTCCAAGTTGGGGCCTCCTTTAGTTAAGTTTCCTAATTTTTGGTGGTGATCTTTTTATTGGAGGGGAAAGAAAAGTATTCCCTTCAGTGTCTCTCTCAGGCAGCCCTTGCGTTGGGCCCTTGCCTGATTGCAACAAAATTAGCCTCAGCAGATGCTGTCCCAAAGAGGCTCAGTGGGTCTTTTGTGTTTCAAAGCCTCCCAAGCTATTTACAGTCAAAGCTTAAGGGAAAATCATCACTGTCAGCAGTGATGGAATGTCTCATTAGACATTTTACGTAGCCTGCTTTACAAGGGCAGAGCCCCTAACTAGCCTCAGCCTTTTGGCAGTTTGACTATTGGGTGTGTCATTAGGGACTTCACTGAGAGTGTGTAAAGAAACTCCAGATGCCCCAATATGTAAGGATACTGTGAAAAAGTGTCTGGGACATCTGGAAAAGAACTTAAGAGACCACAGCTGAACTCAGTTACTGAATTCAGTGTTGTTTGACACTTCTGTCACTGAAAACTACCTGGGTGAGCTATTAATTCGTATTACTTATTAATTGTTTCAGGCCTCATGAGCAATACTGTAAAAGAGTTAAATTAATGGATGTTACCAAAGTCAACACACTATGGGAATAAATGTTTCATGTGATAATGAGAGCAAAAACCAGGCATTGCCTCCCAAGATTAAATCTATTTCTCTTAAAACATTCAAACCCATCTAGAGTGGCTGGGAAGTAGGAAGATTTACTATCAAAATGGGATATCCTCTCTGCCTTCCTGCCTTTCCCCTTCTCTCCTTTTTCTAACCTGGGCCACCCATCTTGGCTATTTTACAATTCACAGGAACTTAGATAAGATGGAGGGCTACCATAAGCCTTACATTTGCCCTGCCACTGTTCTGTCAACCTTAACTATCTATTCTGTTTCTATGCCCTGAAGACCCCTAGCATTGTTATCTGACTCTCTGATGTAATCTAATGACTCCTGGGCCTTGCCATATGCCCCTCCATTGATGTACCCTTAGGGTATCTAGACCTTTCTATCAGCCCTGCATCTGAACTTTCTTTTATGTATTGTCTTCCCTCAATTAATACGTGAATTCTTTGAGAGCAAGGACTGTCTCGCTTCTTCATAACCAGCACTTAGCACAGTGCTAGGCACATAGTAAGTGCTTTAATAAATACCTTTTTCATTCATTCTCCCTCTTTTTAAAAAAACAATTATTATATAAGTGGTGGCTTTTTAGGAGAAGAGGGAGGAATATACGGGGAAATATAGGCAATATAAGTACAAAAGATATTAATAAAAATCTGTTTAAAAAAAGGAAAAATATAGTACTTTATTAGGTCAAAAGCTTTTTTTAAAATTATAGGCATAGCAGTATCTGTGTCCCCTCTAAAATTCACTCATTTAAGGTAGACTGGTACGATATGGAGTACCACTGGGAAAAACCTGGCTATTCTCTCTCATCTCTTTATCAAGAACACCCTAGTATGTATGTAGATTGATCTCGTAAAGGAAAGTAGGCATAGAGATTGGTTTGTTCAGTTGCTTCAGTTGTGTCCAACTCTTTATGACCCCACTTAGGGTTTTCTTGGCAAAGGTACTGGAGTGGTTTGCCATTTCCTTCTCCAGCTGGTTTTACATATGAGGAAACTGAGGCAAGCAGGGTTAAGTGCCTTGTCCAGAGTCACACAGCTAGGAAGTCTGAGGTCAGATTTTAACTCCTGAAACTTCCTGACTCCAATCCATTGTGCCGCTCAGCTGCCCCATAGGGAGTTGGTAGCTGTTGATGTTTTCTGAATTTCATCTTTTTAGAGAGCAATAAGGTTTATGATTTTTTTCCTCAAGTATTTGGTATCCTCTCTTCTCTCAGATATCTGAAGAATCAACTCCTGAATGTTTCCAAAACTGTTGCCTCAAACTTTCTTTTGTGTATACTTGGTTCTTCTTGTCTTTGTCTTCTTTAGTGCAATTTCTGCTTCCTCATGTAAACCTTCGAGAACTATGATACTAGAGTTCAAATAGGGTGTTTCCATTATCATTGATGGAGAAAATAGTTTGCGATAATAACTTTGATAGATCTTTGCCATGTTTGGTATCTTCCTTCCAGTTTCATCCTTAAAGGTTTTTTAACCTTTAAGGTTTTTTATATATACATATACATATAGTGCATCTGTACGTATGTATGTATGTATATATAATGAAATTATATATTTAACCTTAACCACCTGTCACACTTGGGTCTCTTATAAGTTTTTCATAAAATTGCTTTTCTCTCTCCCACCTCTCACTATGCTATGAGTGGCTGCTTGCTTTGATGGTTCTCTGATCTCATTGCTGTGGATGCTGCCTCTAATGAAACAAATATTCTGTCATGGTTCTGATTAGTTGTAGTTCTTCCTGAGGAATCTGATCTAATCAACACTGTTATTCTTGCCAATGGAGCAGATCGCAACTCATTCATACTTTCTCATCCTCTACAACTCTTATCCATGTCCTCCCATAAATCTTCCATAAGGGATCCAGCCAACCTGCTGGGGTACTTCCTCTAGATCTCTTGACATTGTTTGAGTCAAACCACCAATTGTCTCTTACTCTCGCTGTGTGAAATGAATGTTTACTTCCTTTTCCTGTCATACCTTAAGATTTTTTACATCAGTTATAGTGCACAAATCATCATTGGTCATGCATAGTAACCAACTTACACCCTGATGCTTTCTCCTTGGAGCAATCCTGAACTTAAAATCAATAAAGACTGGAGGATTCCATAAGTAACAGGATCATAGGAAGAATATTGTTGGGCCTTTGCAAGAAGGAAAAGCCTGGAATCTCAAAGCAATCCACAAATTCCCCTATTTCTACAAATGTTACTAAGGCTTCATTTTGCTCACTTTGAATAATATCCCTTTCAAAGTTTCTCTTAATGTTTATTTCAACTTAATTTCAATCCACCACAATCCATTCGACAGATATTTATTAATCACCCTTCATGGCCAAGATGTTCTGCTAGATGCTTGGGGTACAAAGGTGAAAAACAATAAATTTCCTGACCTCCAAGTTCAAATAAAACATTTACTACAGTTCCTGACATGCAGCAGGTGCTTAATAAATGCTTGCTCCCTTTCCTTTGCCCCCTTAAGAAGTTTACCATCTACTGGGGAAATTGCCATGATCCAAAGTGCCCTAGGAAAATCTGGGTAGGAAAGAACATTTTCATCTTGGGGGAATCAATGAAGTCTACATGGAGAAAGTAGCATCTAAAATTACTCTTAAAGGAAGAGAAATAGTACAACAGGTAGATATGCACAAATGGATGATATGGAAGAAGACAAGATAGGAAAAGGATTACAATCCCATTTGTCTAGAATGTAGAATGTATAAAGTGAAATTATATGAATTATATGACTGGAAAGGTAGTTAGCACCAGATTGTGGAGGACCTTAAATGCCAGGCTAATTAATTTGTTTATTATGCCTTAGGCAACAGAGAACCACCAAATGTTTTCAGCAATGAAATAGCATGATCAGACCTGAGCATTTAAAAAATTATTTTGGCAGCTATATATGGGATGTCCATTTTATAATTGCTAATGAAATCTTTATAAGAATCATTTACATACATATAGAAGACATCCTTGATGAGAATATGAAAAGGCAAGCTTTTCAAAGTGATTTTCTACAGCAGAAGACACCTTCATCAACATACAGTTAACTGAAAGGTATATCAAATACAAGATCCTGCTGCATTTATTGTTTATTGATTTTTTTAAAAAAGCATTTGATTACAGCAAAATGAAACTTTTTTGAGTCCTCTAGCAAAGTGTCTCCCATACTTATCAAGATCATACAAGATTTCTTGATAGATGAAACCAGTTCATTGATCTCATCATTAATATTAAATGAGGAATAAAACATGAAGATGAATGTTCATTGATGGCACATTTCGATTTTCCGTAAATGGTAAGAGCATCTAAATATTCTTGTTTGCGGATGACATTGTGATGCTTGCCTCAGTTCCCAAAATATTATAAAGCCTCCTCAGTGAGCATCATGATCACTCCAAAGACATTAGCCTCGTAATTACAAAGGACACAGGGGCAGCTAGGTGGTGCAGTGGATAGAGCACCAGCCCTGAAGTCAGGAGGACCTGAGTTCAAATCTAGCTTCAGACCAAACACCTGACACTAGCTGTGTGACCCTGGGCTAGTCACTTAACCCCAATTGCCCCCCCCAAAAAAAGCAAAACAATAATTACAGAGGACAAAGCAAATAGATGAACAACTATATCCCAACTATGACAAGCACCCTGGATGGAATAACTCAATCAGTTAATGTATTTCAAACAGACTGAAGATAAGCAGTGTGCTTGGCCCAAAACTGAATCAGAGGAAGAGAGTGAGGTGGATTGCACAATTCTGTCTATAGTCCCAAGCAGCTTCCTGATATAGAAACCTATCTTTATAACTTTGATATTATGCTGCCACAAATCAAGGAGGATCACCATCTCCAAAGAATCAGCATTGTAAGTGACCCTGTGTAAGTAAGTTGCAACTTGTTACCAATGATGTTGCATACTCAAGAATTAGATATAAAAGATATCATCCAAGAAATGTATAATCAGAAAAGAAGATGAATCATTCATGTAGCAAGAGCAAGGAAAAAACAGATGGATGGAACAGCTGAGCAGCTACCCTGATATCCATAGAATATTTTTTCAAAGCCCAGGTCATGGAGTCTTAGGATCATGGCAATTTGAGCTCCAAGAGACCCTAAGACTTTGGGGACACTCATTTTAGAGCTTTGAAAACTGAGGCACAGAGAGACTAAGTGAAATGTCCCAATATCATACAGCTAACAAGTAGCAGAGATTTAGGTTTAAACTGAATCTAAATACAGTCCACTGTCCCATACTATAGTAGATCTTTTATGAAACATTTCTAAGATAAGAGTAATGTAGATGGATTATAATATAGATGGAATATAATAATAATAGCTACATTGATGAGATTACTCATTCATTGAAACATGAGGGATAGACTGGAGAGGGCAAAGGCTGGAGGTAGACTGACCATTTTGGAGTCTATTAAAATATAATCCAGATGAAGGAAGAGATGAGGGCCCAAATAGTATGAATGACAACAGTATGAATAAAAGAAGGGCCAGGTATGAGAGGCACTATGGAGGAAGAATCAACAGGACTTGTAAACTAACTATAAGTGAAAGAGAAGGAAGAATCAAATGCCATTCTAAAAGTTCTGAGCTTGAATGACCTGGAGGATGATGGTGCCATTAGCAGAAAAAGTAGGTCAACTGGAAGACAGAAAGATTCTGGTTAGGAGGACGATAAGTTTGGGACCTAGAATCATTAGATCTGGAAGAAACCATCCAGTCCAAACCATCTATTCTATAAATAAACTACTTGGAATTTGACCTGTGACCAACACATCCTACATGGAGATACCCAGGGATATGCATTTAGATTTAGAAATCAGCTATAATTGAACTCTTAGAAATTAATGAAATTACTAAAAGAGAATATAATGAAAGAAGAGGGGACATAGGTAAAGCCTATGGGTCACCCCCCAGCCTTGGGCAGGAGGAGAATAATAAACCTATGGAGACAGAGAAGAAACATTCATACAGGTAGAAGAACCAGAAGATAGCAGCGTAACAGAGATCATGGGAGAAAATATTTAGGAAAAAACTATAGTCAACCCTATCAAATTGCTACAGAAAGGTCAAAGGGGGAACACTGAGAAAAGATCATTGTTTTTAACATTTGAGAGGTTATTACTGTGGCCTTGAAGAGATCAATTTCAGTAGAGTGGTAGAGTCAGAAGCCAGATGGCAATAGAGATTGTAGTCATTTCTTTCTAGAATTTTAGCAGTAAAGGAGAGGAAAGTAGTAGCTTGAATGGAAAGCTTGGAACAGCAACTATGGGCTGTTATATTAAAAAAATATTAGGGGTCTAATATGGGGATGGGGGAGAAAATAAAAGGAGCACATTGAATGATATAAATCAGATGGTCTTTGCTTAAGGATATCTATGGGATATATAATACCAAAAATTTCTCCAGTATGGACTCAAAATACATTTTGTTACCACTAATACAATAACTTTTATTGCCAAACAATTATATCTTAAGTAATTTTCTTTCAAATAATTTTAGTTGTTAGATTAAATGTTTGAAAAAATTATTCTATTTTGTAAGAATTAATTACACAATGTAGAGAAATTTATCAATTTGGAGAGATCCAAAAAAAATGAGAAACCCTCCCATTTTACTGTATCATTCTGGTGACCTGAGGAATCAATTCATCTTTCAACATACCCAATAATTGTATGTTTGTGGAGCTTCAGACGTTACTCTCCTTACAAGGCTTCAGCTAATATCACCGGTGCTCCTACTCCCCTCAATTATTAACATTTCTGTTTAAAAAAAAAAAGATCCCAATGAAAATACAGTCCTCCAGGTTCCTGTGATGGAGTGAGTCAGGTTGCTACAGATTTTTCTCAAGCATGCAGGCTTGTTCTCCCAAACAGGAGGTAGACATCTCCTACTGAGGTTAAATCACTTCTTTCTAACAAAACCAGAAACTCGTGTTGAAAATATACAAACCTGAGGGTAAAGGCCACAAGGCCTTCATCTTCACATCATGTAATGTCAAACAAAACAAACAGCAGATTACATACAGCTGCATAAATGTCAAAATACATATTTGTAATGATGTCCTAGAGAAACCTTAAATCCATACCCCAAAAATATTTGTCTGCTCTGATCATCTTTGTTGTGGCACTAGAAATTGCACTTAAAGAAAGTGAGACATCTGCTATATTAAGAAAACCAGTGACCAGCTATTAAGAGACCAAATCAAACTAACAGTGGATACTTTTGATCCTGCCAAAAAATATGTAGATTCTTTTTAGTATTCTACTATGACTGAGTCATGTCAAAGAGAAATTATCTGCTCCTCATGTCTGTGTCCATTGATGAAAAATTAAAACTAAAAATTAATTTAAAATATTTTATTTAGAAGTAATAGTTTTAAAGTCCTTAATGTTTAGATTATAAATAACAAAGTTTTGATATAACTGTTAGATACGCACTGTTTCATAAAAACCAAAAAGCTTAACCAGCATTTGGCCATGAGACCTTCCCTAGTGCAGGCCCAACAGGAAACAAAGGGGCCTCCATGAAGTAGGTCTAGTTTAGGACAACTGCTTACAATTGACTATTTAAGAAATAAGTTGGGGGCAGCTAGGTGGCACAGTGGATAGAGCACTGGCCCTGGAGTCAGGAAGACCTGAGTTCAAATCTGGTCTCAGACTAAACACTTGATACTTACTAGCTGTGTGACTCTGGGCAAGTCACTTAACCCCAATTGCCTAAAAAAGAAAGAAAGAAAGAAAGAAAGAAGTCATAGGGGCACTCCCTTATAACTTCCTTCCCATCAGGAATCCTGACAATGATTTCTGCTTAGAGTCTCCCTGTTGCTATTGTCAATGGTTTTTTTTTTAATTAGGCTCATTGGACTAAATACTGTCTTTTGTGTTTTGCGTATTTTGAATGAATTTTGCTTTAATATTATTTGTAACATCATTATATCATTTCAAGGTTTGAGGAGAGGGAGAGGAGGGAAGATTATTGTTGTTTCTCTTGCTGGCCTAAATAATATATAACCAAAGTATGTAACATGAACCAAAATCTTTTTTCAAGCTGAAAGGTATTTCCTGTTGTTTCTAATTTCAGAAGACTACTTTAGGAGACTCAGTGCTCATTGTCTGGCTGCTTTGAAGAAAAAGGGAAAATAACTATAATTTAATGAAAAGGGAGAAAGATATAATTGGGGCAACCAAAATAAGTATTTATTAACCAATTGTTTGGGTTTTCTTTTCTTTTCAGCCTCCTGTAAGGTTACTTAAGGATGACAATAATATGATGAGAAATTACATATTTAAAGCCTTTCATAAGTATATCCTTTGTCTCCACAGATCATTTGTCCAAATCTTTGGAAGGATTATTTATATATGAAGAAGAAGGTTCTGGAGTGCCAGGTTCTAACAGGAAAGGAAATGATGCAATTGTAGTGGAACAATGGACTGTCATTGAGGTAAATTGCGATTACGTGGCAATAATTTGTACTTGTATTTGTACTTTTCATTTTCTACATTAGCATTTTTTTTGCTGCCTCATTATTCCTTAGATATGTGTTTATTTATAAGTGGGAGTTCATTAAAAATGGTTGAGCAGTGTTCTCTCAGATTTAAATCCTTTGCTTTATATACATAATCAGATATGGCAAAATTAAACTTATAAAATGTTTTATAAATGTTTGTATATTTATAATTGTATATAATTTTACAAATTTATAAATGTTTGATTTAGCTAAAAATCTGATAATACAATATCCTCAAAGGATTTGACATTCAAGTATAAAATCAAAAGCTTCTTGGCACTTAGGCTATTTCTATACAATGCCACAGCAAATGGTTAAAAGGGAGAAACATGACATAAAGTCAGTCAGTCATCTAACTACTTGATTTGTATAATAACAATAACTAGCATTTCTATGGTACCTACCATGTATCAGGCACTGTGCTAAATGTTTTATACATATTATCTCATTTGATCCACACAACCACCCTGGGAGATAGGTGCTATCATTATCCCTCCTTTTACAGTTGAGGAAACTGAGGCACAGAGAGGTTAAATGACTTGCCCAGAACAACAAGCTAGTAAATGTCTGAGGCCAGATTTGACCTAAGGTATTCCTGATTACACATACTGTATTCTATAAACTACTCCATTCCCATTCAATAAGTTTGATTTTTTTATTCAATTGACTGGTTGTTTCAGCATCACTGTAGGTACAGTTTAAAGATCATGAAATTCAAAAAATATACTCCCTTTTCCCTAGCACAAAAATTTACATAGAGCATTATGCTTCCCAGTCAGATACGATATTGCTAAGGATGCTGTGCACTCTAAAGGACAGAATGACCTTGACATGTTAAGGACCTGGCTGGCAAAATTTTCCAGTGCAAGTACCTCAGTTGTGTATCTGAGGCCATTCCTTTCAAGACCTGTAATTTGTATTTTTATAGACTATTTGTAGTTTAACAGACTATCCGTTTTTGATACTTAAATAGATCTGCAGTTTCATTAGCATGGTTATTCTTTCCAGTGATTCAGATTGCATCCCATCCATGCCTTCTTATCTCACCAATATACTTCTAGAAAAATCCTCCACAGGACATCTACCCAGCATTGGGGCTAAGGAGGTGGGAGGAAAGGGAGAGGGAAGAGTTCTAGATCTCTTGACATTGCATGACTACCAGTAGAGTACACTGGTTTCTATCAGTTATTCTTCATTCTCACCATATAACCAATTCACTTCCTTTTGATGATGTCACTGTGGGAGAATTTCCAGTATAGAAATACCCTCCACCGGTGTAGATTGTCAATTCTTCTAAAATAGGTCAAAGGTAGGACTTGAACCCATCCATGTATTCCTGACTCCACAGCTAACACTCTATGCCATGCTGTCTCTTTACAGTCAAACATTTCTTTAATATCTTTTACACAGCTTCTCATTGGTAATATGCTTGGCCCTTCTCATGGTTACTATATATCTCTTCATCATCTTCTGAATGACTTGCATCTTTAATTCAGGATCACCACAATAAAGCACCAGAGTAGGATTTTGTGGAGGATCCATTTTCCTTTTTTAAAAATTGATAGATCTTGTCTTGACATATCAATCATGCCCCAGTAATCTATATCATATGCATACTCTCTTTCCATAAATACAGTTAAGTAAAATTATCTAATGTAGTTAGAACTAGAATTAGGATTGACTGAGAGGAGCTTTGCCACGAGGCACTCAATTTAGACTGGGCAAAAACAACTAAGCTTAGTACCTTATTAACAATAATAATAAGGTAAAATTGGAAGATAACTTACTAAGCATAATTATTCACCTCCTTAGGGCTATAGCTCTTTCCTGATTGTGCCTTTCTCCTGGTAGAAGCCTCCTTCATGGTGTCCCAAAGTTTCTGTAACCTGTGGTCCAAGGTTTCTAATTGGCTTCTAAAAGTAGATTTAAGAGTGATTTTCCTGGTTTTTTTGTTTGTTTGGCTAGGCAATGGGGTTAAGTGACTTGCCCAGGGTCACACAGCTAGTAAGTGTTATGTGTCTGAGGCTGGATTTGAACTCAGGTACTCCTGAATTCAGGGCCGGTGCTCTATCCACTGCACCACCTAGCTGCCCAAGAGTGATTTTCTTACCATTTACCCCAAACACATTTTTGATTCTAGCCTTGGTACTTGAATTGCTAGTTATAGCTTCGGTTGTAGTGCTTATGACTGATAGCAAATGTAACTTTCCATTCTCATAGCTTGCCAGTTCTTAACAAAAAGGGTAAGAATATGTTTTAACCTCAGTCATCTGGAACCTATATTGGCCATTGTACTTGACCTGAATTCTGTTGGTTTTTAGTGTCTTCATTCATGTTTATGTAGTCAGTAAGTATTGATCCTATTTTCTTTGCTCTGCATCAGCTTATACAAGTCTCATTTTTCTCTGAATTGTTCAGACTCATCATTCTTTAATGGCACAATAATATTCCATTACATTCATATACCACAATTTGTTTATCCATTCCCCAGTCATTTACCTCATAATTTATTTCCAGTCTCTTTCTATTATGACTAGTACTATTTTTAGATATACCGTATTTTACATGTGAGAGATCTTTATTTGTATCATTAACCTTCGTAAGTTATCTGCCAAGAAAGCTATATGCTTATTAATAGGGTAAATGTAGATCTGTTGATGAAACTAGAAAATACACAGGGAGTAAAGTATTGAGGAGGGTCCCAAGCACAAACTTTTTCATTTAAGTCTCAACATACAGTGAAAAAGACCCTCATATCTAAACTCTCTCTCATCTGCTCTCCAACTCTTCCCCTGGTCCACAATTCCTATAAAAATTCAAAGAGGTCAGCCAAAGCCTTAGGGAACAAAATTAAATCCTTTCTTGCCTTGGTTTCCCTGTGTTATATCCCAGCCTAGCTGTTCCTGGAGGATCATAAGAGCATAAATTGTCTAATTCAACCTCCTATAGCCTCATAGATAGACCCCTCATAGAGAGGTGTGTCCCAAAAGTCTTGGTGCCATTTTAAACTTTAATAACTTAAATACAAATAATAGCTTAAATAATACAAACAATAGCTTTTAATAGTTTACAATAAGATTTTTGGGAAACTCTGTATACATGATCCAATTAAAAAATGAAACAAATGAAAAATAATGTGTTCAGCAATTCAAAGAAAGGAGAAATTAAAGGGGGCTGAAGTTACCAGGAAAAGCTTCCCAGAGGAGGCAAAATTTTATCCTAACCTTGAAAGAGTCATTAGAATATCAATAAGAAATTCAGACCCTAAACTATTTAGATAGTGCAGTGAATAAAGTTCTGGGCCTGGAGTCAGGAAAACACATCTTCCTGAGTTCAAATCTGGCCTCAGATACTTACTAGCTGTGTGACCTTGGGAAGTCACTTAACCTTGCTTGCCTCAGTTTCCTCATCTGTAAAATGAGATCAAAAAGGAAATGGCAAACCAGTGCAGTATCTTTGCCAAGAAAGCCCCACACGTGACTGAAATATATCTATATATGTGTGTGCATATGTGTATGTATATACACACACATACATATGTATGTGGTTTTTTAATGTTTCACCTAAGTTTTCAAACTAAAAATCCTCCTAGGGACAGATAAAACTTGGATGAAATAAATGTGTAAATTCTCAATAAATATCTAAATATCAGTCAAAATCTATATGAATAAATCTGCAAAATATTTTCAGGCTCTCAAGTTTTATTGTCTAGTTTTCAGTCCTTCATGGAGTCAGTAAGTTAAGAGAAGAATGATGTCATTCATGTCTGTCCTCACAGGTGCATTTGACTAAGTCTCTAGAATTCTTTATCACAATTTATCTAGAAAGTTGGAACCAAATGTACTGCTTTTGCAATCTTTGTGGCAATAAAACAAATTATGAAAGACTCTGTACCTCCAAATCCTTTGACCTAGAGATCCTACTAATAGAGTTATATTCAAAGAAGGAAAAGAAAGATCTAATACATGCTCAAAATACTTATAGCATCATTTTTAGTAGTAGCAAAGAACTAAAAACAAAATAGATGTATATTGTCGGGGCAATGGCTAAACAAATTGTGGAATATTACTGAACTATAAGAAATGAAGATAAAAAATTCAGGGAGGCAAAGGAATGATCAGGAAAACATTCTACATAATGACTACAACAATGAGAACAGAAAGAACAATAGCAACAAAAAATTGAAACTAAATGCTGTGTGATTATAATAACTAAGCTTGGCAGCTAGGTGGCATTATAGATAGAGTACTGGGCCTGGAGTCAGGAAGAGCTGAGTTCAAATCCCGCCTCAGATACTAGCTATGTGACCCTGGGCAAGTCACTTAACCTCTTTCTGCCTCAGTTCTTCAACTATAAAATAGGAATCATAATAATATCTACCTCATAGGATTGTCATGAGGATCAATTGAGTTAATATTTGTAAAAACACACAGTATCTAGTTCATAGTAGGCACTTAATAAGTGCTTGTTCTCTTCCTGGAATAAGAGCCATGAGAATGTACCTTCTCCCCCTCCCCGTCCCTCCACCCTCCATTTAAAGATGTGAGGGATTATGTAAGTGGAACACAAGGTGCGCTGTTGAACTTCATAGATGCGTCTGATTAATTGATTAACTTTACTGAACTACTTTTGCTTTCTTCTTTTATGAGGAAATCACTCTGGGTGAGGCAGACAGGAAAATATATTGGGAAATTAAGATGATGTGAAAAGATATCAATCATTTTTTTAAAATAAAAAAGTCCATGTTCCAAGACCATCTAGGTCTTAGGACTAGGGTCAAAGGAAGTAGAAAACGGTAAGTGTATGCAGTACTCCCGCCCAATAGCTTCTTGAAGAACAGTAGTTGCTAGATACAAGATAATTAGTGGTAACTATTCTTCAGTTTATCACGTTAGCTATTTCGAATTATATATGTTACGCAGTTCTGTATCACAATTGTACGTGATCTGAGTTTACCTATCATCTATTAGTGACCATTTTTAATAATAACTACTTTTTGTATTTATTTAATATATTTTGTATATTACTTGATGTTAGTAAAGTAAATATAAAGAGCGCTTACATATTTCTATACTTATTTATGCAGGGCTGTGAAATTACAACTGATTACGGGCCCCTACTGCACACTCTGGCTGAGTTTGGATGGCTTTTGACGAGTGTACTTCCGACACCCATACTAAGACGTGACAGGTACCATGAAAGTACATTTCAATGTTAGCATTACATTCTAAAACTTAGTTATAGGTAATTTCCTAGAGGAGCGGCGTTTTGTACGACTTTCCAAAGCAATTTCATAGAGTGATAGAGTTTTAGATAGAGAAGAGACAATAATTATAATTTAGTTTTGTTGTTCAGTCATTTTCAGTTATGTCCAACTCTTCAGGACCCCATTTGGAATTTTCTTGGCAGACATACTGCAGTGGTTTGCCATTTCCTTCTCCATTTCATTTTACAGATGAGGAGATTGAGGCAAACAGGGTAAAGTGACTTGCTCAGGATCATACAACTAGTACAAGTGTCTGAGGTCAAATTTGAAATCGGGAAGATGAGTCTTCCCGACTCCAACCTGGCACTCTATGTACTATGGCTCCACCTGGCCACCATGATCTAGTTTACCTCTCTCATTTTATAGGTAAAGAAATTGAGGCCCAGAGAAGTTAATTTATTTGCTAAAAGTAACACAGCTATTTGACAGCAGACTCAGAGCTAAAACCCAGGTCTCCTGGTCCACAGCTCTTTCCACTCTGCCTCTTCAGCTACCTTTTCCATAAGGAACTGAAACAAGCTTATTGACTGCGAAAACACTTCTATAAAATTGAAAATTTTTTTTCGCATTAGAGAATCTAAATAAAGAAAGAGCTGTTAGAAACTCCAGATAGGGGCAGCTAGGTGGTGCAGTGGATAGAGCACTGGCCCTGGAGTCAGGAGGACCTGCATTCAAATCTGACACTTACCAGCTGTGTGACCCTGGGCAAGTCACTTAACCCCTCTGCCTAGCCAAAAAAAAAAAAAGAAAAGAAAAAGAAAAAGAAAAGAAAAGAAAAAGAAACTCCAGATAGAAAAATGTATACATCCCCAACAGACACAATGCTTTGGCATCCTGCATTGTAGCTACAGAGTTCTGTGTCCATCTTCTCCTCTCAGGGCATAGCTGTCCAGTTTGGAAGTCCAACATGGGTCTGGAGATAAGGTTGAGAGAAACAGGGGCAGCCCAGGTACCACACTGGCAGTTCTGCTCTAACTTGACCCTAGCTTCATATATACATTTAACTACCGAATTCCCACCAAGAGTGAGAATGCTATGAATATTCAGTTACTTCTTTACTACCTCCATACAGCTATAAATGTTAAAATTTTATAGATTCATACGTGTCCTATTTCTCTTCCCCTTCTCTGAGTCTACCATTGTCGTTTCCTGGAAATGCTATAGAGCTAAGTAGGGAAAACTTGAGTCATTTTATTTTTTCCTGTGAACAGAAGAGACCTAACTAGAAATTTTTTCATCTGAAGCAAAAAACACTTTGAAGGGCAGGAGAGAGAGGAAGGACACAGAAAACAGGCAGTCCAACCATGAGTCAGGGGAGAAAGTGGCCACGAAGGTAGTGATGCCACCCCAGGTGTGTCAGCTGCAAGGTGGTAGGAGCTCACAAAATGAAGTGAAAGAACAGTGGACCCCATGAAGAAGAAGTGAACTCACTCCCCTGCATCAGTGCCCTAGGGCAGAGTCCCTTTCATCCTATCCTAATTATTTTTTCTCCCCAGACATAAACTTATTTATGTTTTAAGACTTTATTCTCTTTTGCTTATTGAAGGGGCTAACTCTGCTCTCTGGGTACACAGAAATAACAAAACCGCAAAGCTGGTCCAGCTCTAAAGTTTTATGCCCTAAAAGCAAGTAATTTTTATAGTGTAGTAACTTGTGTTTGTACTTGAACACCCTCCCAGACTGCAAGTTTCATGAGAGCAAGGACCAAGCCGTGTTCACTCTGTACCTATCTCAGTAGTGTGCTTAGCTGCATAGAGCTAGAAGATCATTTGGTCCAAAACCTCATTTTACAGTTTAGGACATGGAAATCCAAGGAGACTAAATGATTTGCCCAGTATTACACAGATAGTAATTCATATAGCCATGATTTTAAACCTGGCTCCCCAATTCTGTGTCCAGGTTCTTTCCATTCTGTCACCTGGAAGGCATTTAATAAATGAGTGTTAAAGCTGACGGAAGAGGCAAGTCAGGACACCCTCTGCTTACCTATTCAGCAGAACCGTTGGATGAAGGAATTGTCACTGTTCCACCTGCCTCCACCCCGGGGGGACAGCCATTCTCTAGCCAGAATAAGCAAGGCAAACCCTGCAATAGAGTGAACTTTACTTTTAAGGACTTGCAAAATGAGTAACAAACCTATAACATGTTTTCTCTTGCCCCACAAAAGCTTGAGTTCACTATGTTCTTGAATGAAAATGGCCACTTTTCAGGGAGGGGAGTAATTAAGAATCATTGCTCAATGAACTTAGATTTTCAGTGTCCGGGGTTGTTTGTGAAGCATTTCTCAAACTGCAGGTTATAGTGCTTCCCATAGTGTTTCCCAGCTTTTCCCAGTTCATTATGGTAATAATAATGATTCATATTTGTATACCACTTTAACATTTATGAAGTCTACATACATTATTCTTACTTAATCTTCATAATAACCCTATGCGATAGACAGTGAAAACACTTTTCTTTAATCCTTATTTTACAGAAGAGGCTAGGTGTATCGCACAAGGTCGCTTAGCCAATAAATGCAGGAGCTGGGACTTAATTCCAGGTCTGTACTATACCAGCCTAACACCACTAAATCAGTATATACTATGATTAAGCATGGAGAGAAACCCTCTACCCTACACCAAGTTATCCATTGGTCCAGGATCCATCTATCCTGTACCCCAACTCCTCTAATCACCATGTAGAAATACAATATCACCATATTCCCTCCATCCAAAATGTGAGGAAGGCAAAAAAACCCTTCTCTTTTGATGACCCCTCCAGAGTGCCCCTCTTCTGGTAACTCCAGATTCCTTGTAGTTATTCTACCAAATGACTTTTCCAATAGTGCATTGTGCTCTGGACCTTTCTTTATTCATGCTGAGCAGTGTTTCCCCATATTTCTTCCCTATCCGTGGAAGGGAGAAAGAGAGAGATTATTTAATATTGTATATATAATCTTATGTACAAAATATATACAATTGAATATGTACAATACAATAGAATATGTGTGTGTATTCCATTTCCTTAGTGTCTTACTCTGCTCTCCACTAGTTTAATATAGATTAGTTTATCAGTGTGAGATGGTTGATAGTGCGTTGAAGTTGTTACTCTTCCTGGTAACATATTCATCTAGGGTATTATGGGAAAAGTTGCTGGTGGAGGTATTTCTTTCTTTCCCTCTACCCCAAACTTGAACCCATTTTGCCCCCTTTTTTGTCAACAAATACCATTTTCCAGTTTTTTGTATGCACTAAGATAGATACTTATTCTGTATTGCTTTTCTCCATTAGCTATTCTTTTCCTGGTACATAAAATGTGCTCAACAAATGCTAATTGTATTGAATTGATTAGGATCATAGATCAAGAGAGAAAAGGAACCCAAGAGACCAGCTATTCCAACTCTCCCATTTTATAAATGAGGAAACGGAGGCCCAAGAAGGTTAATACAGATAGTTGTCATCAGAAGTACCTGAACCTAGGTCGTCTGACTCCAGAGTCGGTATTTATCCCACTGTACCCCATTTTCATTTTTGTATCGAGAAGAGGGTACTGGGAGGAAAGATCTAATTAACTGATTTCTCTTTTCTTCCTGTCCTAGAAACACTGCCATTTGGGGGTTCTTTTTGATTGAGAGGTGGAGATGTCCAACAGGGAGTACACTGTCAGGAGAACAGGAGGAGAATTGCTCTATCAGTATAACAGGTTACATTCTTCCCTGGATGTCACTTCATAGAATTGTTTAGAGGGGTTTTGCCAAATGCCTCTAAATTGCTTTCCAGCTCTAAAAATACTCTGATGGTCTATACTCTAGGGAAAGTTAAGTACCATGCATAGTTCATTTCCTCTTCAGAGGTCTTTATGACCATTGACTAATTATGCCTTATGAGCCCCTGTGAAGATGGTTAAGAATTGCAGGGTAATTTTGTCACTATAAAACTAAGTTAGAAATTAACTGAACAATTGTAATTATAGGTGCTTTGTGTCAATAGAATCTGTTCCTATGTTGGCCAGATTCCAAATCTCAGTTTACTCATTTCAAATTTCCCCCAGTAGTTTCTTGGAAATAAAGTGCTATTTAGTGACTTGATTCCACAGTAATATTCTTGCTTATCTAAACTGATATTTGCTATTTTTTCCCACTGACTGACTTCTCAGCCCCCACACAGAAGGGAGCTGGTAGGAATAAAACCAAATCAGTCTGAGATGCATGGAAGCCAGAAAGGGGCATGCCAGCTGCAGGTCTGCATGGGGCAGGTGCAAGGCCCTACACCTTAGGGACCAGTGAGGCAGCTGAGCCAGCAGCTGTGAGCATTTGGTGGTGATTCCACAGGTAGCCTTACCAGCTTCTTCACTTCTCCCTTTGGGGTGGCGCCCCTTTAAATATTCTAAAGAATTATTTAAAATACCTTTACATACTCTAAAGAATGCATCAAAGAATCCCTACTCACAAGGAACTGTGCCTCCAAAGTGCCCTTGAATAAGAAAAATCTAGGGCAAGGTATATCATCTTTCTGGAAAATCAGTCCAAATACACATGGCAGAAAAACACTGGACGTGAACTCAGGAAACCTAGAACCTGATCCTGGCTCTGTTACTAAGTAATTTTGTACCCATGGGCAATTCAGTTTTCCCTGGATCTCAATTTCTTTATCTATAAAATGAGGGGTTTGGACTAAATCAGGGGTTCTTGACCTTCCTTAAGGGATTTGTGGAGAGATCCTATGTGTTTTATTTTCTGCCTTTTAAAACATCATTCTGATATGGGATCTTTGGTGTTCACTGGACTGTCAAAGGGATCCATGACATTAAAAAAAAAAAGTCTAGAACCTTTCTACAAGGTAATCCTTATGCAGTTCCTTACAAAACTAAAATTCTGTGCTTCTATATTTGCCACATTTTTACAATTTTATTCCGGAGTCAATCTCAGGGATAACAACATCCC